CCTCCTTCACAAGGAGTATGTTATCAGACGTACACACAAATACTTTTATGACCTAGGTATACTGTATAGACAAATTGCAAGACACCTGCAGATAATTCAACAAAATATTACAATCTTGGTGCAAAATTCTTATATCTCTCAAGAATATCATCAACCTTTCCGTTGTGACACATCCAGGCTATTTGTTCAGGAACAGTCCTTATCTCAGTGTTTCTATATACACTAATCAACGGACAATCAAGAATATAGTGGGCAAGGGTGTGAGACCTTAACATACCACATAGTTTACACTTCGTGTCATTACCATGAACATCTATCCCATATTCCCAGTAATATTTGTACCCAAGCCTGAGCCGCATGTACACAGAGTCACTCCAAGCATTTCTCCTTTTACCATAAGTGAAATGGGTGTTTTGACTCACATACATGTAGTGTTGCATGGTTTGACTACTCTCATACATTATCTCTCTCCTCTCCACTCCCGCCTGTGCCTGAATATTTCTGATTTTGCTTCTTATTTGTCTCATTGTGAATTCACATTCAATGTCAACTTGTGGTTTTGATGTGGCACGTTTGGCCAAGTCATCCGCCACCTCGTTGAGCACTATTCCAACGTGAGATGGAATCCACATGAATTTCACACTATAACCTTTCAGCTGTATCTCAGTTATTCTTCTCTTACAGTCCTCCACTATAGACATGAAGACTGGGTTTCGACTGTTTAAGGACTCCAGTGCTCCTCGGCTATCGACAAATACAAAAACATTTTTGTCGTCATGACGTACTTCCTCCAAACACGCCAGAATGGCCTGCAGTTCAGCTTGTGTGGATGATATATAATTACTAAGCCGGAGTTCAATTATCCTGTCCACAGTCCCAAACTCCGTATAATCCCTTATTAGGACACCACACCCTGCCCTGCCATCCTCCGCCACCGACCCGTCGCAATATACATGTAAACTGTTGCCTCTTGGTAACCGAGATATCATGCTTCCATACAAACACCGTAATTGTCCCGGTTCATGATGAATCTTTTTCACCTTGAGGGGTACAATTTCGACGTCTATTTTCTGTACTTTCCAGGGAGCAGACATATTACACTTTCGAGAGGGTTTACAGCAGTCAAGTACGTCGTATTCCCTGAGGTCATGAGCTAATCCTCTCGTATAGCGTGTCTCCCTCAGTTTCCTGGAAGTGTGTACGTCACTCAAGCAGGTCTGAACGCTCTCAAACAGCTTATCCCCTCCTTTTCTCCGCATGAAACGAATAGATACTCTAGTGTTAATGTCACGGACTCTATCACACACACTCTGTAAATTTAATTCCATTCTCATTATTTCAATCATTGCATTTCTTTGACATCCAAGAATAATCCTCATAGCCTCGTTCTGTATCAGCTCTATTTTTTGAATTCTGCCTTGGCCTGTGTAAGACAATACGGGTGCTGCGTAGTCTATCAGGGAGCGAACAGTGCTTATGTATAACATCCGCAAGATAGGTACCCCAACACCTTTACCAGAAAAAGCCAGTGCTTTTAGAGGATGCAGACGGGCTTTACATAAGGTGCTGATATGATTTATTTCAGCATTTTTACTCTCACATGTGTATCCAACATACATGCCCAGATACTTGTACTTCTGTACACGGCTCAGTTCCACACCATTTAGAGTAAGTGTTATATTTCTTCGTTTCCTATACTCGTATTTGGTTTTATCTGCATTTATAACTAAGCCTAACTTGTGACAGGTTGTACCAAGTATGTTAAGAGCATCTTGAATTTTGTTCCCAGAAGTGCCTTGTATAAGAATGTCATCAGCATATATGATCGTCGTGACCCCTGGAGGATACATCTCTGATGCTAATCTGTTCATTAATACATTGAATAAGGTGGGACTTAATACTCCCCCTTGTGGGGTACCTAACTGAAACCTCCGTTCCTCAGACATGTATCCCTGGTAATACACCTGACCTTTTCTGCCTTGCAGGTAATCCCTTATCCAGTGTAGCAATCTCCCTGTTATTCCCAGATTGGCTAATTCGTATAAGATTACTTCCCCATTGGCTTTATCAAACGCTCCTTGTAGATCAACAAAAACTCTACAATTGTCATCCACATTAGACAAACACTTTAAGAGACAATCCGCAGTACTTTTGCCTTTGATAAAACCAAAGAGATTATTGGACATGTTATCACCTACAAGGTAGAGTAGCCTATTTAACAAAATCCTTTCCATCATTTTACAAAAGCAGGATATTAAGGAGACAGGTCTGTAGCCTCCGTTTGACTTAGGGATAGGAATGATGACAGCCTCTTTCCATTTTCTTGGTAACTTTCCCTCTCTATAACTCATATTAAACAAATCAAGTAAGGGATTAGGTTTCATACCGGCTAAATAATTAAGTATGTCATACGTTACTCCATCTTTTCCCGGAGCAGTGGAGCTGCCACTTTTTATAGCATCCAGTAGCTCATCGTGGGTTATCTCAGTGCATGCTATAGATCTTGTATTTAAGGCACATAAAGTTACTCCATTTCTAATATTTTCCCATGACTCAATGGTGACTCTCGTGTCTGCAGGTAAGGACTCCATACCAGCAGCACTTGCCCATTTATCTACTAACTCATTAGCAACTTTCCCTGGATCTGAGTGAGCAATGAATTTGGTCTTACAACCCCTGACTTTATTTACTGCTCTCCATATGTCTTTAAGGTTCTTAGTATTACCAATGGCCTGAGCAAAGTCTTGCCAGTATCTGTCCCGCGCCTCCTTCCTCACCTGACTGCATTCCCTAGCCACTTCCAACATTGTATTTTTCTCTTCATCCCTCATTCCATTTTTTAACCATGCTTTATGCGCACCCCGTAGCATTCTCTCCCATCCCTTGACTTGCTGATCATTGGAATATTTAAATTTCTTAGGTCCGTGCGTCTTGCTTCCCCTGCCCCCGTTATTTTCCCTCTGTACTAATTTCTCTATGTTCTCGACCATGTCCTCGTAAAAACTATCAACGCAGAGCGGCGTGTAATGTTGATACCAATCTCCCATATTTTGAATAAAATAATTTTTCATATCTTTCTTAATATTTAGCCTTTTCCTTTGAAAGTGGACTTGTTTTTTCCCCAGTGGTAATTCAACGTTCAAGGCAAAGTGGTCACTAAGTAGTTCCCGAACAACCCGAGCCTCCCCCATAATCCCCTGAGAGTTTAAAACGCAGGCAATGTGGATGGGCAGGAGGCACTGTGGAGGGGGTGGGAGGGTGTGTGTGTGTGGTGGGGCAGGCTGGGAGCTCGCGGCTCCCACCAAACACTCCAATGACTCGACCCGTAATGACAACAATGAGTTTCCCAGAAGTGACAACAAGTCATTGGAACCTGTAATGAAAATGACACTACCAACTGCAGTGGTGGTGGGTAAAGGGCATAGAGGGTGCTGAAATGTTGGGGGGGGGGGGGGGTGTACTAGCAGTATGTGTATCCATCTATATCTATAAAAGTGTCTGTCTGTCTAAGGTTAGAGGTCAGACACTTATCACTAACTACATCCAACTTTGCACAGTGACTGGTAAGGGGTTGATGACCAACATAGGTGCGTTGTAGTTGGTTCTATGGCTGTATCCACCTTTTTATACAGTATGTGTGTGTGTGTGTGTGTTTGTATATATATATATATATATATATATATATATATATATATAAGTACTGTAAAATGCAGTATAAGTAGTATATATATACTATATATATATATATATATATATATATATATATATATATATAATGTATATAATATATATTAGTATATTTTAGTAGCAGTTTTTCTTGTAAACATATGTTGTTGAATATGACCGAAAGGGTAAGATTAATGATTCTAACACAAATCTCCTCAATATTTCTTACGTTTTTCTTCACTGTCGGGGGGTAATTGAAATATTAACTCTCCAAAGTTCATTTTCTCATTTTTATTTATGATCTGACGCCTAAAAGCATTTTGCAAGGGCTTCTTACATTTTCAAAGACATGTTTAAACGTATCATATATCATGCCTATATTCGTTTTGGATGAGGTAATATGACACAAATGTTTTGGGTGAGATGACAGAACACGAAACAATGGGTATAAATTGGATATGAAAACATGAGAATGAGAGTAACTACAGAAGGCCTATTGACACATATTTTCTCTTGCTGCTTCTATGATGTTTCGGAGTCTTGGAGTGGGTAGAATATAGTTATGCATTAATTGGCTGTTGATTGCTGGTGTTGACATTTTGACGTGTAGGGCCTCGCTGATGTCGAGTCTCCTGCTATCGCTGTATCTATCGATGATTTCTGTGTTGCTTGTTAAGATTTATCTGGTGATGGTCTGGTTGTGAGAAGAGATCATATGTTCCTTGATGGTGCCCTGTTGTTTGTGCATTGTTAATCACCTAGAAAGAGACGTTGTTGTCTTGCCTATATACTGAGATCTTTGGGGCTTACAGTCCCCAAGTGGGCATGTGAAGGCATAGATGACGTTGGTTTCCTTCAAGGCATTCTGTTTGGTGTTTGGGGAGTTTTTCATGAGTAGGTTCACCGTTTTCCCATGGTCGTGTTTATTAATATCACACTAACTAGTCACATGGTGTCTGGAAAGGTGAAGTAGTGAGCACTTCTCCTCACTGGTTATGCACACCAATTACCAACAAAAACAACTCAAAATTAGTCAAACTACAAGTTAAAGAAAATGGTTGAATTAGGCTTTAAAGAATAAGCAGGATAATGTGCTTGATTTATCCACAGTAGTATTAGTTATGTTTTATTTATTTGGCATGAAAATTATTGTGCATTTAATTATTATAATTATTGCATGTATTATGCATTAATAATTATATATATCAATTAATTATTATAATTAATGAACTGTGTCTATAATTTTGTGTATATAAGTTTGGAATATTAATCACTGTAATTGTATTATTGTTAGCATTATCAAGCAGTAATTACTAAATGTGTATAAATTTCAGAGGCATCTGGAATGTTCCATACATCACTGGGGTGTACCTCATCCAAAAAGCCCTCCTGGAGAACCCTGAGACTCGGCCCAACTACATCTTCAAGCTCCACGATGCTGACATGGCCTTGGCCGTAAACATGAGGGAGAAGGTGAGTGATATTCACCTTCTCAAGTACAAGTCTTGTTAGGAAACATTTGTAATGATTGTAACACAGAAGTTGGAGGTTTTAAATTACAATCAGATTTTGTTGCTTCTAAAAATCTATATCTGAAAATATTATACAGTACTTGTTAAGATATTTCAGCTCATTTTTGGTTAAAAAATTGGCAAACTACATACTGTATTAAATTAGTATTTTTTGCATGCATTTATAGTAGCTTTATAATGGATAGGCATTCAATATTGTTGAAGAACAGTGGCTGACATTGGCACATTTTTTTTTTTATTGTGGGGGGGGGGATTGAGTGCCTCTCCAGCTCGGATATCACTAATGTCGACATACAAACTGAAAGGCTGCCCAAAGTTCAGGGTTGGTAAGATGGAAGCTTGGATTAAAAGATATTTCATCTTCTCGAAAGACTCGCGGTAACTTTCATTCCACCTGCACTTTCTGCTCAAACCGAGTCATATGGACTACCACGGTGGAAAAGTTGGCACAAACGTTTATTTAATACCAGATCATGCTAAGGTACCCAAGTAGTTCATTGATCTTGGACACCAGACATTCATCACCAGCCACAACCATTTAGGAGGGTGATAGTGGTCTGGCCAGGATAAATTATAACTTTGGGGCACAGTACTACCGTACTGGGTTCAACAAATGTCACAGCATTTAACCGTTTTTTTCTGGGTATAAAATCCAACAATGTATAGAGGGCCGCCAGAAACTTAAGTGCTGGCTAGTAGCAAGCCAAGTGCAGTATGGCTGCACTTGGCTGTGTTACGATTTGGTTCAAATTGTCTTTCTATTTGTCAAAAGAGCAAAATTCTCTGGATCCCATTGAATCTGATTTGTACATTTTATATAAATATAACTAATATATTAGTTTGCATATTAGTTAAATAAATATAATAAATAAATTAAAAGAATACAACAGTAAGTGATTAAAATAGAAGGAAGGCCTACTTTGAATTAGTGAGCTTCAATACTGGCTTTCCCTTTTGTTCCTCCACATTTGGTGCACAAACGAGGTTACATAGGAAGATGGGGGGCAAGACTTCGATGCAATATTACCATATCTCACACCAACGTGTTCATGTGGTGCTGCTTACAAAAGCTAAATACATTAGTTTACTTGGCTCTAGTTGAGAAGCATAGGGTGATGGATGGAAAAAAGAATGAAGGTGTGGTGCTTTTGACTTGAAGAAGCTATGGATTGTCAGGAAGCTAATGGTGACATACGACCATCTAACCCAAAGATTGTTGAGCGACCTGTTGCTGTTCTGTACCTCTGAGGGATGAGGTGAAGTCTCCAAGAGTGAGGAAACAACACTTTTGACTGACATATTGTCTTCGTTACTAGGCACAGGTTCAATACTTAGATGAGCATAAATTATAATCATATTTTCTGATTGCAACTATATTATGCATGACAGAACTGCAATTTGTAGAGCATATTTTATGTATAGTGAAAATTCAAGAAAGTTAAAAAATTCAAGAACTTTTGTGTACAACTAGATTGAATTTTGTAGATGGTATATTTAGACTGTTTAAAAAAAAGGCTTGTTGTGATGGAAACTTTAGTTGAAAGTAATTGCACTCAATTTTAAAGATTCAAAATAAATACTGTATATGTACTGCAGAACAAGATAATTGTAATAGCATAAGTTTTTATATTTACTTATAAGGGCAAATGGGGAACCTTTGACAAGCCACCGGCTTCCTGTCCTTGTCGAGGCCACTAAGAGTTTTAGTGGCCCTCAGGTAAATTCAGGTAAATAAATCCTTTACTGTACTTCTATCTCAGGAACAACTATGCATGCAAATGTGAAACATAATGATAAGCTGAAGCCAAGCTTGAGATACAATTACATAACGCAACATTTCCAGGGAGTGTTCATGTACGTGAGCAACATGGAGGATTATGGACACTTGGTGGACCCTGATTACTTCCCAACAAAATATTTGCACAATGATATGTGGCAAATGAAGGCGAACCGTAAAGATTGGGAGAATCGCTATATATCTCCAGACTACTGGACAGCTCTCAGTCCTACAGAGCTCAATGAAATGGTATGTCTATATCTTCATTGTAATTCTATGTGAGATAATAATAAAGGACTAGAATTGGTATTTTATGTTGGCTGTCAATGTAGCTCTTAAAGAGGAAAATGCAACACATGATGTGAATACTTCACTTCAGCATAGATGTGCACAAGTATAGAAATGCTAGGAAAAGCAGTACATATTTAATATTAAGAAGTACTGTACTGTAATATAATAGTATTTATGATACTGAGCCTGAGAGGCTCTAGGTTCTTTAATTAGATAAGAGTGTAGTGAAAATAGGGGGTTGATAATTTAGAATATCAAGAATACTAAGATGATTGCAAGATGAATAAATGTAGGGAGGAGAAAGTTTCTGTTTAAGATCCTGGTGTTGAATTCTTGTTTGAGAGAAAGAATTAATGGCAAGTGATGATTTAAGACTTATAAATATGGGCTCATTTGACTTATGAGAAAGTATAATAGGGGAATAAATATTCGGGTGAAGAGAAGGCTAAAAAGGCACAAAGAAAGATGAGAATATAAGACAAAAAATAGGGAAATTTAGAAAATGTGCAAGGATAACAGTTGAATAGAAAGACAGGGTATTGTATCAGAGGTCTACATAAACATGGTACTGTAGTTGTCTATACAGTATATGAAATGCAAAAGTGATAGTTAATTAAAAACAATAGAAATAAATCTTGTTGATATAGCTGGAATTTCTCCATGACATTACTTCATGGAGAAAGTAAGCTGTGTATTGTATATCACATCATTCATTGTCCTGAAGAAGGTTGATGGCAAATGACTGAGCATCAGGAGTTTAGTCTCTCTCTAGTGTTCAGGTAGTTTTAAGAAGTGTTCAGGTAGTTCTAAGATTGTAGGAAAACAAACTTGTGGGAAGGAACCTCAAGGTAAGTTTGAATTAGTTTAGTAAGAATACTTGAAATATGTTACCAAATTAATCATATTAAATGCTGAATGAATCATAGCTCCTGAAATAGTTGTATTGTATGTATGAAATTTATCAAGCAAATTATGTGAAAATATGTTTTCGGTCTGGATAAAGTCCTAAGAGCAAGAGTATATTAAAATGACTAATTTGTAGATCGAATGGGAGTGAAATACATTCAAGCACAAATTTATTACGAGGTGAGAAAATCTATAGGAGCCATGTGGAGTTGTGATGAGAATTCAAACCTATGCCCTGGGTGTTCCCAGGCACACACTCTAGATGACACGACATACGCTCTAGTCGTCTAGAGCGTATGGATGATGATCATGGACATGGATGACGATGATGACATATGATCTAGTCGTCTAGATGTATGACTGAGAACACCCACCACATAGGTGTTGTCTGGGGCGTGTGCCTGGGAACACCCACCACATAGGTGCAAATCCTCATCACGACTTCTAGGGATTTTCTCATTGATGCAGTCACGTTAGTGTGATTATTCTGTGTATTACAAGGTGAGTATTTAGTGTAATGAAAATATAAATTGTTCTGTACATTGAACTATAAAAGTGACAGATTAATATATATTTTAATATGTGCAAATAGAAGTGATACCTATGATGTAAGGTTTGGAAGATGTTACACTGACTTAGCTGCTTGGATGAATTTGATGATGTCATCTAGTTTTCTTGAACCCTGTGTGATGCTTTTGATGATGAGGATGATGATGATGATGATATGCACTTGATATCAACAGCAACAAAACATTCTGATGAAACCTGAAAAATATTACACTACTGAAATTTGTTCTTTATATCTAACAGCCTTGCCCTGACGTCTACTGGTTCCCAATCTTTACACCAAGATTCTGCCAGGAGCTCGTTGAATTGGCAAACGATAATGGTGGCTGGTCAGATGGAACCAACAATGTAAGTACAGTAGTTTTCATATGCCACGGGCTGCTGCGTTTTACTTAATGTTACTTATTGTGTATTTATTGTCTATTGTAAGGCATTTGCCTTTCTGCTGTTTAGCGTGTGAAAATTTGGACAATAGTTTATTAACATAATTTAAAGGTTAATTTAAAGGCAGGCATCTTTACAAATTATGCCTCATTTTTTCAACTTGCCATTGAATGGTACTTTGGAGCTTAGTTGGCTGTTGTGACCACACTTCAGGGGAGGGGGGGAAGGGATGGTTAATTGTGAGATAAGGTGACCTCAATAAGTGGGACACACTGCAATAAGTATAATTTAGGGTCTAGAATGGGCCAGAATATTATCACTCTAGTTAAGTGTGATATGGGTTATTAATTAATCTGAATTTCATCCAAGCTTTTTTGCCAAAAGAATATCTGTGCCAATCAGAAAATGGGCATTCTAATAGCAGGTGAATTCCTACACTCAGATCAGTTCAACAAATCATTCATGGCTAGTATTCCATCTTTCCATCTAGTTTGAGCTTAACTTCCACCCCTTTGACTCATTTTCATTGCAACTTCTGTACAATACTCTCTCCATGTATAAATTCAAATAATAAAAAAATTACCACGCACTAGATTCAGTGTCTGATAAGAACATTAGTGAGAGAGTATGGGAGGGCAAGATTGAGGTTGGGGTGAAATTTTAAAACATTCAGTATGCAGTTAATATTTTTAGCAGAAATAATAAATAAAAGCACAAAAAATAATCATAGCACTGAACATAATCTTAGCCTGCCCAAGTCCAAATATTGTACTAGATTTTAATGACGAATAAAATAATTTAGGATAAAATCCCACACTAATGGATTTGTGTATTTTATGAAAAGATTTACACCATTTTGCACTCTCCTGAGTGCTTTATCAAGGTCTTGAGTATATGGTGAGGATAAGAGAGAGTCTCAGCGACTAATACAGCTGCTACCCAGGATCCAGTCCTCTTATCCTTCTTGATCTGATTGTGTCACTTTAGGGGAATTATGATCAGTTGTCCTTTCTGTCATCCTGGGACTCTGAGAACTGGAGATGCTATTAATAAAGGTATTTGTCTAGATGCTATCCCTCATTACTCCCCTCCATGCCCAAAAAGAGAGCGGCTCTTGTAAATCTTTACATAAAATACACAAGTGTGGGTTTTATATTATAATATTATATCTATGAGAAGATATTGCCATTACTTAATAAAATAATTATATCAGTAAGTAAAGCATGATACTAAACAACAAAGTGTAATTAATGGAACAGGATAGAATAAAGGAATTTTTTTAGTATGAAATATATTTATGAAAGTCTGTATCCTAATTTATAAATTTTGTTTTAATAAGATTATATTTAGGCTATCTGTTGAGACATACTCTAATTAAATGAATCCCATTTCCTAGGATCCTAGACTAGCTGGAGGCTATGAAAATGTACCAACAGTTGACATTCACATGAACCAGATGGAGTTCGAGCAAGAGTGGCTGTGGATTCTCCGTCACTATGTAAAGCCACTTGCAGAAAAAGTCTACCTTGGGTATGACAGTGATGTAAGTATCGCTTGATATTTGATTACTTTTAACTTAAGATACGAAACATTATATTATAGACCCAGTATTTATCTTGTAAAAAGGTCAACATTACAAAATTAAGTTTCTTCCTACATGTTTATTAATTTGTATATTGTGTGTGACATTTATGTCAATATTTTGACTAATAATTAGGATAATGTTAAGGAACTGGTGAAAAAGTGGAAGTGTTGCTCCCTTGTAAGAATCTTGTATAGTTGAAGTTATTAGAAGTACAGGATGTGGAAGAGGATTTTGTATGATGTGCAAAAGTAGGTAAACCAGTTATGGTAACAAAGTTCTTTTTTGTTAGAATGGAAAAATACCTGGTAAAAAGGTGAGAGCTAGTGACTAGTGTGGTTAGAAATCTGCAGAGGTGAGAGTAAAGACAGAAATGTTTGCATATTTTAAAGGCAGATGTAGGCCATAAAGAAATAAGTTCATGTTAAGTTTTAGATAATGTAAATGAGAATGCAAACTGATGTTGTTTTCAGGCTAAAGCTGAGAATTATAGTAGTAATAAAACACTTCAGCTGAAACACAAGTTTTTGTCCAAAGTCTTCCTCCTATGGTAGTCTTCCCTCATTTCCAACAAACTACAAACAATATTAATCACCATACCATAAGCTTGAAAAATAATGGCACAGCCTCGCACAGTTAATACAGAACACTCCACATCGCCCTGTCCACTAACCAGGTGCTGTTCCTGCTTCTATGTCAGCCTCGTGCTTTGACACAAGCTTATTTTGCCAGTTGAAGTCATCTCCTCTTGTTACCGACACCAATAAGCTGGAGGGTAACTCTCAATTGTCTACACACCATTGGTCTTTGATAGACAACATAGTTTCCTCTAGCTGTGACCACTATGACATGGCTTTAGCTGCCATGGATGACAAGCAAAATGCTGATGATATACCTATTTCATGAAAGCTTTCAATAAGTGTGACCATGGTGTTAATGCACACAAAATATGCACAAAAGGTATTACTGGCAAAGTAGGAAGATGGCGCTTTAATTTCCTAATGAACAGAACCCAGTGTGTAATAATCAATAAAGTAAAATCCAGATCATCCACCAAAAAGCTCAGTCTCCCAGGGTATTGTCTTTGCTCCGGTACTTTAACATACATTGCATGTGTAGAAGACTACATTTATTTTGTTCTCATTACTTCCAGGCTCGGGCAATTATGAACTTCATTGTGCGATATAGGCCAACAGAACAGTCCTTCCTTCGACCCCATCATGACTCTTCAACTTACACAATTAATGTTGGTTTGAATCGCCCATTTATTGATTATGAGGTAAGTTTTCAACATATACTGCACATACAGTGTGTTGTGTAATTACCTGACTATAGTTATTATAGGCTTTATGATCTATAGTTTTAAAACTTCCAATGGTACTGACATACTTTACTCTCTCATTTAGTTTGTTCATCCTCTTGACACAAATTGTGTTATGACGCTTGGTTTGGTAGCCTATGCCCTATCTTTCATGACATTGCTGGAATGTTTGAATATATTATGTGGTATTACTGTATTGCCAGATTGTTCATGATCCTGTCAATGAACATAGTGGATCTTATCATAGGTATTGCTTAATGATCCTGTATAGAAATATACTTTTTAAAATACACTCAAAGCATTGTTTACACTCAAACTACTTTTCACGTACTTGTCACATTGGTCCACCATGTCAGCATTCCTCTCGACTTCCTCCTACCCTCAAAATATCTACACTTCAGCACTCATATTACCAATTCATTTCATATACTGTATCCATACCATCCGTGCAAACATGTCTTAGTCTAATTCATCAAAGGATCTCCAGTCTACATATAATACTTTCATATAATGTTGACATTTCTTGTTCTGTCACTACTGACCACACGTGCCTCAAATTCTCTGCAAATTCCCTAATCCTAGATTTTAAATCGGTGCGGAATAATAAGGGCTTCACAACTATTTATGGTATATGGTATGGAACAATCCTTTCATCATGTAGCATTTTATCTAAATTCCTCCTTACCTTATTCGTCTCTCTAACAAAATCCTTCATTGCACAAGCAACTTAGAGCATCAATGGTACCAGACTGCAACAGTAATTAAGGCACCATTAATGAGTGACAGAACTATTCATTTTCTTAGAGCCTAATACTGTACAGTACTGTATATATACTGTACAGTACAGTACTGTATAAGCAAATATTAATTAAATGACCTTTATAATTTTACATGTCTATTTTCAGGGAGGCGGCGCTCACTTCATCAGATACAATTGTTCAGTGGTCAATACACGTGTTGGATGGTCGTTAATGCATCCTGGCCGCCTCACACATTACCATGAAGGACTCCAGACTACAAAAGGCACACGTTATATCATGGTTTCCTTCATTGACCCATAATTTTGCGAGCAGCTATATATTTGTTAGTGATTTTTAGGACCATTTGTTGATAATTTTTTAATGTGAAATGTATTGATGTTTTGTGCTTGTAACTATGTAATCATGACAGGGCTCGGCCTATAGATGTACTTGTGTTTGTCATAAATCAGTATTAATGTCTAAGGTTAGCTGATGGTGGCTGACAAATCTCTTGCTCACTGTTTATATTTTTACCTCTCGCATGCAGTTGCATCTGCAGTCTTGTGAAACTGTAAATGTTATACATGTTTGAATATTGTATATTCAGTGTATGTGCTGTATTTTCAAGCTGTTGCAACCAGATCAGATACATGATGCCATTGACTTAAGTTTTACCATGCTAATTTTGTATTAAAAGCATTTGTTTCTTAAATAATTCTTTGTTGCTAAAAAAGCAGACAAAAACCTGTGCTTAAAAAAAAAAAATGAATCTCGGCCATTTTCTGTAACTGCCATTTTACTGTTTTTATAAATGGTAGTTAATTTCCCAACATTTGTTATGATCTCTGCAAGCTGCTTAATATTAAATAAACTAAATGCTATAAATAAATCTGAATAGAATAAAATATTGCTTAGTATTAGTGTTGCATATATTCAAAAGAATAATATATTGTGTTTAATGCAATAAATTTATAAAATTTTGATTTCCAGTAGAGCCACAGTTGACCTATATATTTGTCTTGTTCTTTCCCTTGTGACTGAAGTGTGGAACAATTGGTCATAGTAATTTATAATACAGCAACTGATGCTTGAATGTCAATTTTAATGTGGTAATTATATTTTCCTCTACATTCTTTCTGAGGTTGGGGAGATACTTCAACATTTATCCATTCCAATTGCCTTTTATGGCATGCAAAGTAACAATATTCCCCAGTATTGAGTATGGGTAATAAATTCTTCTTGGCCGTTTGAAAAGCCCTTATTTATTTTTTAATAACTTAAATATTATATTTTTTAGTGTGATATGCCATATACTTTGCAAATATTATTTTCCAAGTACAGTACCAGCCTATTGATATTATTAAATATACAATAAAGCATATAAACAGGTTAACTTCAACATTTCAAGTAGTAAAGATCTATACCTGTATCTACCAGAGAAGAAAGCAATAAAAATGGAGCAATGGAATACTGTTGCTCTATGAATGATGTAAGAATTGTTTTATTTTGTGTTCCTTATTATAGTTTGTAGTACATTATATTTACTTGATTTTGGATCAAAATAAAATATCCTATTGTGCTGGTAGGGATGGGAAGAGACAGTATACATGCTCCGCTTATATAGAGGGCTGTTAAATATGACTGGCAAAGTCTCTCTGTGTGGCTCCTACTCTTTGGGTATACAATGTGTCCAACCTTGATCACAGATATCGAAATGGATGAGTAGAGCAGGAAATAAGTACAGTACTGTAATTATCAAAAGGAGGAGCCAAGCCGGGAAGATTATTGAGCACCATCACTGAATAATCAAACGGTGCTATATTGGATTCACCAAGGATTCTATTGAGAGACAAATGACCCTGAGGGCCATTAAGAAAGCAAGACATATGAATATCCTGAAACTTGGGACATTGTACAATTTATTTGTTTTTTATTTATACATATATACAAGAAGCTACATTGGGTTTATAAGAGTACATAGCATTAATGTTTTTACATTCTTGCAAAGTCACTAACACGCATAACGTTTTGGGCAGGTCCGTAATCTAAAAGATATTTTTAAGTAGATAATTTGTAGCAAAATTTTAAGAATATAAATAGGTACATTATAGTAAAAGTTACATAGAGTAGAGTACATGTTGTGTACAAGTTACACAACTAAGTGGGACAATGCAGTTTGGACAACAAGCAGCATGGCAGTGTTCCATTAAGTGCCCAAGAGTTAAGCATATGTGGCCAATACATAACCTAGTCAGAGCCATTTCCCACCATTTATTACAGTGAAAGGAGGAAAGCCAGGGGGGATAGCTTCCCTTTAATGTATTGCGCGGTACCGGTTTTGTTACTCAAATTATCATTATACATTATATATATGCATTGCGCGGTCTAAGGGTTAAGGGGCCATAATGTAGGATATTAAAAGTTGTTCAATGTCAACCAAGCTTTTTTGACTAGTTGTATATGAAAAGGGCTGCAACTGTTCCAAGTTTCAGTATCGCAGCCTAAGTAGAAAGGGAGAAAACAAAAATTATTTTTCAACGAATTTTCAACATTTTCAAAAATTCATTACAACCACAAGTTTCAAATGAAATCATTTTTATAACACTCGTCTATCACATTAGCATATAATCAAGAGAATCATAGACATGATTTCAGTTGACACTTGTGTCTGATGTTAATTTTTTAACATTTTGGAAAATTTTTGACTGTTACACAGACACGGCAAACCTCCAATCAGATGTAAATCAGGTCTTTCTATGGGCTACAGAAAATAATATGGTGTTAAACAAAGATAGTTCCAGCTCATGTGCTACAGAAAAAAATGAAAATATAAAAACAGAAACCACATACAAAATGCAGTCAAATCATAACATAGAACGAAAAGGCAATGTAGAGGATTTGGGTGTACTCATGTCGGAAGACCTTACATTTAAAGAACACAATAAAGTAGCCATCACAACTGCAAGTAAAATGACAGGTTGGGTAACAGGTTGGGTAACAAGAACCTTTCACACTAGAGATGAAATACCAATGATGATACTTTTCAAGACGCTAGTGCTCTCTAGGGTGGAATACTGCTGAACAATGACAGCCCCTTTCAAAGCTGGAGAAATTGCTGACCTGGAGAGCGTGCAGAGATCCTTTACTGCTAGAATCCACTCAGCAAAACATCAAAACTATTGGGACTGACTAAAGAGCCTAAATCTGTATTCTCTTGAGCGCAGGAGGGAGAGATACATAATCATTTACACGTGGAAAATATTAGAGGGGCTGGTCCCAAACCTGCACACAGAAATAACATCACATGAGACCAGAAGGCATGGCAGGATGTGCAGAATACCCCCGTTGAAGAGCAGAAGTGCAACAGGTACTCTAAGAGAGAACTCTATCAACATCAGAGGCCCGAGACTGTTCAACACGCTTCCACTACACATAAGGGGCATAACTGGCTTACCCCTCACAGTGTTCAAGAGAGAACTGGATAAACACCTCCAAAGGATACCTGATCAACCAGGCTGTGATTCATACGTCAGACTGCGAGCAGCTGCGTCTAACAGCCTGGTTGACCAGTCCAGCAAACGAGGCAACCTGGTCAACGACTGGGCCACAGGGACGCTAAGCCTCGGAAAGACTTCAAGGTAAGGTACAGTACAGTACTTAAATATTTTTTCTCCCTTCCTATTTATGCTACAATGCTGAGACTTGGACCAGTTGAATCCCTTTTCATATACAGTACAACTAGTCAAAAAAGTTTAATTGAAATTGAACCCATTTTCATTTATTGCATATTTTGAGGTTATGCCTTGTTATGTGCACAGTTATCCCTGTAATGCCAGACCAATGGCACTGCCAATAGTCACAGATTGAGGAATGAATGACTGGGTTGAAATCTAAATAAAGAATCGCCTTTTTGGGAAATAACACAAGTGTGAATGGCCTCCTTAGTGGTAGTGTCTGAACGTTCACTTAAGGGGCCAAGTGCAAAAAAATATTCGTCAAAATATGAAATACAGTGTACAGTAGTATAAAATGTTAAATATAGCGTTATATGGCATCAGAGGCGTGAAAATTTCATCCCAATATGTTAAGAAAAAGAGTTTATATGAATTTAAAAAATATAAAAAAAGTTTTCAATTAATACTGATGATAACAATAACACCTAGTTAGTGGGACTCACGGATAATTTAGTGACGAAGAGATGCAAGCACCTGTCCGACACACAAATAAAAAAAGTAGTAGTAAGCAGGATCCACAAAGAGGATGTGTAGCTGGTGCCTTCTAGGATTGCTGATTGCCATCTGGAGGGAAAAATTTCACACAAATAATAATAAGTAAATATGGTATTTTGCTGTATTTTATTATATATCATAGAAATACATTTCCAAATGGCAATATTTCTTATGCCCACCAATATTTTTTTTTTTTTTTGGGGGGGGATAGAAAAAATATAGAAAGAGTTAATATTTATAAATATTTAGGCATATATGTTGGATATACCCATGAGAGTTTGGAAGCTGAGATGAACAGACTGTTGGGTCAATGTCAGAAGAGATTACAACCTCTGAAGGCCTTGGCATGCTGTGGAAAGGGAGTGGGAGTCCCTGTGCTACGAATGATATACTTGAGTACTGTAAGATCCCTTATTGATTATGCTGCACCTGTCATATCTTGTTTTGGTAAAGGTAGGATGGGCAAGTTGGAGAAGGTACAAAATGAAGCCATGAGAATTATCTT